AGTTCTGCACAGGGGCTCCGTTTGTCGTCGCACGACACATCGGGCACGAGTACTGGCGTGTGACTCAGCTCGTCTCGAAAGTCGACTTCCTTTCTACTCACGAGAGCACCTTTGGGATGATCATGCTTGATTGTATTGAACCATGCGTACAGATCGCGCTCACAGAAGCTATGACCACAAGCGGTCAGTCTGAGGTCGTTTCAGTCGCAAGCCCACGCGAAGGGGGGGGAGAGCTCACACGAAAGGCCGATGGAACAAATCCCCACAGATGACACAGAGCGATGCGTGTGGGAAATCGGCGGACTGCAAGGCTTGAGATATACCACCTGCAAATACGAAGGGACGCACAGTGTTAACGAGGCGAGTCCGCAGATTTTCGACCTCGTCCTTGAGGCGATGGTTTTCCTCTTCCATGAGTCTCATCTGGGCTTTCAGCTCCGTAATCTCCTGCAGACAGTTGCATGAGTGTTTGATATAGCATGGTTGCAACGAGAGGCTTCACCTTCTTTGCATCTTCGTGCTTGGTTTTGAGACGCGCAACAGAACGAGCGATTGCGTCACTTTCACTTTCTTCAGCTTCATATGCAAGGTCAACAGGTTCGCTGGAGTGCCCAGCACCGCGTAGCGGGGCAGGTTGTATGAACATGAATGCAACGGAGAGGCTACGAGAGCGATCGAAAGGATTGGTGTTTGGGGTTGATTCCGACATGAGGTGAGCGTATGAGTTTGTCCCACTGTAGAAGAATATTAAGGGAGTCGGAGACAAAGGCCTTCAACTCGTGTTTTCCTTTGTGACATAACGGAAATCAGAAAAGTCTGCCATGCGCTTACTTCTAAGTTATAATTATAGCCCCTTTGAGCCGTGTTAGACATGATGGCACAATCGGGGGAGATGCCATCGACTCGGGTATCCATCACTTACCGTAGGCATTCGAGCTGCATCGAAACTTTTCCACTCGCGATGACAAAGGTATGTCGCCCATTGAGCTCTCTGGACTTTGCTAGCTGAAGCATCAGTCAGGAGGAATTCATTACCGTGTTGAAGTCGCAGGTGAATGTCTTGGCGCACAACTCCTCCAGTCGGTTGCTGACTAGGCGAGTTGCAGCTTGATGCACTGCGATCATACGCGCAAATACAGGCAGGTTTCATGCCCGACAGGCTTGTAAAACGAGAGTGCTCACTTCTACAGTCTGCTATCAGGGCTGAGTTGCAAGATGAGCTCGAATCTCTCTCCCAGCTGTACGACGGGATCTGTGCTCATATTAACGATCTTGAACACGACACTGACAAGCTGTACAACGACTGGAGAAAAAACGAAGCACAATGGCGGGAAAATTTTACAGAACAAAACACCTTCATCAATAACATCAAGGCGTTTTCTTCAGGAACAGAGATGCCAGATACTCCACGGGCGTCGCATCCTGCTCGGACAGATCCCAGGGCATTACCATTGCCTCAGATCGCCGCCCGTGTGACCCTTGACGTCAATGCGGATTCCGACGACTGTGGGGTTGTTCTCGCAAGAACGCTTGATGGATCTCAAGGCTCTGTGTCAGCGCCCTGTGACGAAATAAATGATATCGAGATCACTCAGCCACCCCTTCATACATCATCCTCCCCTTTAGAATTGACGCCCATGCATGTTATCCTGGAACCATTTAACGACAAACATCTTCGAGCTTATGCAGATGCGTATCGGGATGACTCATATCGTCCAAAGAAGGTCAGCAGCTAGGGTTGTAGTTCGTGGTCAGTGATTAACTCAACGCTCTAGCGTGCGATACGCCTCATCACACAGGCTCTGCTCGGCATCCAGGAAGATAGAGAATTGCAATTCAAATTAGCCGATGGCTTGGCCGTCTCGACAGCGGAGGCTTCAGCTTACCTCAGCTCCCCCGCCACATCGCCCACGGCTCCCACTGTCGATCCTTTGCGTGTCTATTGGCATGAAATCGGTCATCCGTGGAATGTTAGCCTCATATCCCTGTTTGTCGCTCACGTTCGCTCGAGCCATCCTACTTTGGACTCCAGATTCGTCGCCTACTACTTCGGAAGGCGGATTTTGAAGCTCAGGGACACACTGGCTGCCAAACTGGAGAACCATCTTGAAGCGAGCCGTCGCTCCGAACATCGGGGCACTGTGCGTGTCATCATTGGAAGCGTCGCGAGGCTAACATACCTGTAGCTCTGGAGGCGTCGTCGCCGGACAGCCTCCTTTCACAAGCAACAAGAAGGCGATGCTTTTGACACGCTGGTCAAGACCTTAGATATCGTAGGCTCAGAAGGCATGAGTTCTTCCGACTCGGAGGGTGAAGAGGAAGGTGTAAAGGTCGTGAGGCGGAAGGGTTGGCGGCATCGAGATCTCGTCGGCCTCCTCAAGTTACTTGATCGATTGGACCTTGCAAGTCACCGACCGGGACCACGTCCTCACCGTCGTCTGCGACGTTCCGTGATGCAGAAATCGACCAAGGCTCCAATCCCCGCTCTGCCTGTCAATTTTTATGAACCTGGCTGGTTGGCCATTCATCGATCGTTCCCAGACGAGGTGGACGAGTTTATTCTCCCTACATATCTGTTGATGATACAGGATCCTCAAGATGCCGAATGGAAACGAATCGATGACGAAGACGACTACTGGCCGAATGGGTGCGGCACAGTCCAGATATGATGCGCCCAGCATGAGAAATGTGATCCCAGAGTCGAAGCCACGAGCTGTCTTGCGAGAACCACTTTGGTCTTCATTCTCACTATGTACCTACTCCTCAAAACGTCTATGCGAGCGCAGATCAAAACTCAAGGAAGGGAGTTGTTACGTATAGCGACGACGTTGTCGTCTAGAGTGGACAGTGCTCTCTCACTGGCTGTTTCCAAGCCACAGCTGGTGGTTTTCTCGGGATCCCCACAGTTCGCTTTGCATTCGGAGTGACCGTGTCGATGTCACACTTTGTCGGCTGCAGGGAGTGCAGGAAGCCGTCCTCCGCCATCAGTGGCTTGTGTAGGTTTCCATGACCAAAAGCTGAGTGTGCTTGCCTCTCATAGCAGTGTTACAAATTATATGTCTTATAAGTACATTTATGAGTCTACAGTGGATTGTCCACCCGTCTCATTCAACGGAACGAACGAGAATCGAACATCTGCATCGTCCCCCACTGGTGGGGGTGGTGTCGGAGTTACTGGCAATGCTTGTGTGAAGCCGAATGTCGCCAAGGTGGGCACCTGGGAGGACGCAAGAGCAGAGGCTTGGAACCGTGATGTTAATGCTTGATTTATTGCCGAAATCTATGCGTATGAGATCAGGAAGGGGCGTGGGCTGGGCAATAGATGTATACGACTTTTTCAAGGACCCCTATGTCTTTAACCTGGCGATGTAAGGGTTGTGGCGGTGGAATCGGCACACGTCGAGAACGTCCGGGACGGGTAGTTGGCTTCTGTATGGCATTTGATGTAGGGAGTGGTAGAGGAAAGGGAGGTAGCACGGGCACCGGATCATTGGTTGTCGGGGTTTGTAAGGTGAGACGAGGGGTAATCATCTCCGCAATTGCGGCCTGTTCCACTTCATCATTCATTGGGGAGTTTGGCTCCGAATCACGTATGCTTGGAGTAGACCCCTGTGGTATGAGATCAAAAAACGACGCAACTTCTGGAGCGAGTGCAAACCGCGGTCACCTCGGCTGTGGCAAATGAGTTTTCTTCGCTTCGCATATCTTCCTGGGCGAAATTAGATGCAGTCCGAGGGGGTTCCTTGAGCAGGCAGCTGAGAGATCATCTGCAGCTAACGGCGTTGCGAACGCTCACTTTGTCGCCGCTCCGTGGCTCCAGCTCTAAGATCATGCTGTGTAGAGCCTTGCTCTTGTTTGTGTCGTTGTCAGCCATAGACTGAACCAGTCCCTGGGCTCGCTCATACTCTGCCTTTAGAAATCGGGCCTCATTGATGACTAGTCTGAGGTGGTCAATTTCATCATGAGCAAAGCAGAGCTCATCCTCGGCAACGCTCAGTTCTGTCGAGTTATGACTGTATTTCTCGACAAGGGCTTGATGCTCAATTTTCAGAGCTTCCAATTCTGCATCCACCTGACAACAAAAGTAAGTCAATCGAATGATCCGAGATACCATTACCCACTTTGGTCTTCAGGTCAGAAATCCAGTCTGTAAGCGTCTTCTCATGCACAGAGAACTGCCCGGAAATCAGAAGAACTCTAGGGCGAATGGAGCTGTGCCTAGCCTGTTCCAGACATGATGTGTTTGCTGAGAGAATCCCAAGACGGTCGTCCTATTACAACGTAAGAGTGCACGCTTGTCCGAGTCGAACCTCCTTGCCGTTTGAGCTCTCTGTTCCAGCTGAATTTGTTCAGCTTTGAGAGCTGACATCTGGTGCTTTTTTTGCACGTATTGTTGATCCTGGGACCCTCAGTTGCCTTGGATCCAAGCAGCGGCCCATGGACGCACCAAATTATGAACCTTTTCACGAATAGCCTGGAGCTGCACCTCTGGTGAGGGGGCATTGTCCAGGGCATGGATCTAGAGGATTGTTAGGCCAGGGTATACACGTGTTACTTGCCCATACCTGTTCTTCCAAGTCTTTCAATTTTGCGGCGCTTGCAGCGAGATCCTGGAATAGATAAGCATAAGTCATCAACGGTACAAAGTATTGCGTTTCACTGTTCGTAGTGAGGCCTCTTCACTCTGCACCCTCTCTATTCGGATGGTGAAGTAGCTGGTCATTGCATTATCTTTGGGGCCCGCAGGAGCCTGAACTGTTTGGCTGGAAGGCGTGGACATGAGAGGGATGAGATCGGAATGAGAAGACATGTGACGACTGGCCACCGACTCGAGTTCGGCCCGTCTGCCCGTCCGTCTTTTGATTGATTTCGCATCTACTGGAGTAGCGAGTCATCATACGTCCCGTTTGGCTCAGCCTGCAATCGTAGCATATTGCTCTCCGCTATCTGGAGTGCTTCCACTCCATTGCCTCGACACACCTTACGCTCAGACCGTATATATGCGCCATGGAGCAACCTCCGCCGCCACTTCTGGATCCTGCGACATCCCGGCGACAAAGTCGAAGGACAAATTCACTTGCGATTGTGACAGTTGCCGTGCGTCAGGGGCTCCGCGTGGTTTTCGAACGGCTAGAGCCTTGGCCGAACATCGACGTCAGACTGTTGCACCTCATTTGACGAATCTTCCTGTCAACTCGGCGACTCGGACAGAGAATGCGCTGAGCCAGTCCCGCGTTCTCGCTGCTGCCGCCGCAGTTCACGAACGAGAGCAGGCGAGAATCCGAGAGAGGGCTGAGATCGGCGCCGCCTTGCCTCCACCGATACGGGTCGAAGGATTGTCCACGCACATGCAGCACAAGTATAAGGCGGTGGCTGCAATATCATTAGAGACAGAAAAAGTGGCGGAACTGCGCGTTGCAGCGGATGAACTGTGCCCTCCCCAGCCAGGCTTGAACCTGGCAGCGTTGGAAGTCGGTATCGGACAGATCGATCGCCACCTCGCCAAAGTACGCCAGCTTCAGACCCGTTTCCGAGAAGCCTCCAATGCCCATAAGGAGGCGGCAGCACAATCGCTGATTCATCAAGCAATGCACAAGCTAGATGGAATATGGAACGACGCCATGACCATCAAGCGATCCTGGGAGGACGCCTCGGCATGCATGAAGCCAAGTCGCGACGACCTTGAAGACATCACTTTTGAAACCGGTGTGTTGGCTCCCGTCACTGGAGGCTCTTTTTCATAACATCCGAATTCATCCAGGCCATTATCACGAGCCCCTCTTTCGCGATGTCGCAGTGTGGATGCAAATGATCTTTTATTTGATTGTTGTTTGCTCCACGCTTTTGCACATCTCTCGCCGAGGTTGTCTCTGGGTCATGATGTCGACCCAGGATATTGTTCGCCGTGGGCTCGGACCTGTCAATGATCCTACTCGCCAAGAGTTCAAAGACGTCCCAACTATGCAAGAACACTTCAATTTGGACACAGCATATACCATTCATGCGTCCTGCCCTGCATGCCATCACACACATCGACCGGAGGGCGAGGGACCGGGCATGATCTATCCTTCGATATGTGTGAAGCGGGATAGGCAAGGTCGCAAATGCAACACGCCCTTGCTACAACCACGACATGCCTACGGTCGTGAAACCGCGGTACCTATCCGGCCCTTCATTGAATTCCACTTCATCGACTGGCTGGCTCGCTTCCTCGCTCATCCCGGCAACGAGAAGAAAATGGACAAGAGCTGGGATCGCCTGAATGCGGAACCTGTTGACCTCAGTGATGTTCTAGACGGGTCTTTTGTCCGCAACTTCAAGGGCCCTGACAAGGCGCACCACTTCAGTGTCCCATCAGAGGATGGAGAAGGACGGTATCTGTTCTCACTCAACTTCGACTTTTTCAATCCACTGGGTGCGAGACAGTCAGGGAAGAAGATATCCGTCGGCGCCTTTTCTCTCGTCTGTCTCAATCTGCCCATCGAAGAGCGATACCGAACGGAAAACATGTTTCTCTGTGGGATCATTCCAGGGCCCAACGAACCCCGCTGGATGCGACCAATTCGTACTTCGCACCACTCGTTGACTGTTTTGTCAGACTCTGGCACTACGGCGTACGATTCACGAAGACCTGTGAATATGTTTTAGGCCGGCTCATACGATGCGCGATTGTTGCTTTTGTTTGTGATCTTCCAGCCGCTCGCAAGATTTCGGGGTTCGCGAGCGCGTCGCACACGCAATTTTGTACTGTCTGCAAGTGCACCCGTGATACTGTTGAAGAGCGCAAGGCAGCGGAGGAGGACAAGGCCGCCAACCAATACACCGGTCGCGGAGTGGGTTACAATGACATCCGAGTTGACGACTGGCCTTTGAGGACGGACGGAGAATGGCAAGCCGCAGCTCAGGCGTATCGGAGCGCGGCCCACCCGACGCAGGCGCAGGCCTGTTTCAACTGTACCGGAGTACGCACTTCGGAGTTCCTCCGATTGCCATACTATGAGCCGACGAAGATGATTGTGGTCGATCCTATGCACAACCTCTTCCTCGGTCTCCTTCACGAGACTTTCCGTAGAGTCCTTGGGTTCTCGGAGAAAGCTGATGATGGTCCTGCCGTGCACAGACTGTCGATATCTCTCAGTCCCACCGACTTCCTGGTCTCTGAGAAAACACAAGCCAAGTAAAGGATGCGATTCGGTTTCTCGAGACGATCTCGAATGCCGACCTGAAATACGACGACGAGGAAGCCGAACTCCACAAGAAGTTGGTTACCTTATCAAAGGCTGCGCTTGTGCACGTTACCCAGGGTCTAGGCTGTCCTATAGAGTGTGAAGTGCCCGCCTTACCAAACTCTCTCCATCAATCGTCAAGGAAAGCTCTTACAAAATCGAAACTTGTCGACAGGCTCATCAATTGGGTGAGACCAACCACTCGTTGTTTACATACCGTTGCTGAATCCCTCCAGCGCCGCAAGCAGACAGAAACTGCGCCCATTATGGATGATGGTCAACTCGAAATCGGTCATGTCATTACCAAAGGAGAGATGAAAGCACTGTGGGCAGATATCGCTGCTGTGCACACACCGTCTTGGGTGTCATCTGTGCCTCGCAACTATGGATCCGCACAACATGGGAAGCTGAAAGCAGATCAATGGCGAGCATTGGCCATGGTGTATATTCCAGTGACTCTCATACGGCTATGGTCCGGCTCGACATTGCAACGTCAGCAGCTACTGGACATGACCATGCATTTGATCGCTGCCGTGGATCTGGCTTCTTCCCGGAAATTGATCCAAGGAAACGATGCAAAAGTGGAAGATCATATGCTGAAGTATCGAATCGCACTCCACACTTGTTTCCCCGAGTACACGGCTCATCCCAACCATCATCTTGCTCTACACATCCCCCATTTCTTGCGTTTGTTTGGACCCGTACATGGATGGTGGGCTTATCCATTCGAACGGATGAATGGCAAGATGCTTAGGATCAAGACCAACTACAAACCTGGTGCGATCGCTTTCGATTTCATGTTTGTTGCTCACTAGTTATCAGGTGAATATGAAATTACCATAGGAAGGCGGTATCAACAGATGGCCAACGTCTATCGACTGGAGAGTAGCGCCGTGTTTCCCGTTGCGAATGAGCTGAAGTCGAGATTCGATCAAATTTTCGTGGGGTATCCGCCGCGAAGTCAGGGGGCTCCAAGCACCCCGCCACACTCAACGATTGCGCTTCCGCTTTCCGTCGGTCGAACATCGCACTTCCTCTCACAAACCGGACATTCAGCAATGTCAAGTACAAGGGCCTTTCGTATTCGACCCGACTGAAGCACCGCGGTAACAGCTCAATATACTACACGAAGGGCGGTACACGTCAACCCCTGGCCATTGAGCACATCATCCAGTCTTTGGCTGGGGCCGAGCCAGTGTATATTGTGTGTCGTCCGTATCGGCCACTTTGCCTGCTTCAAGATCCATTCTTGAAGTATCCAGACTTCGGTGGGAAGATCTGGAGCCGTGACCTAGAAGCTGACGATAAGGGTGTCGTACTCACTCTTGAGCAGATCGAAGGGCATTTTGCCAGTTGCGACTTGAAAGGACTTGCAACTGTTGATGGGTCGTTTTGTGAAGGCATGGTTGTCGTTCCATTACGAAAGGTGTGAAGAATTTTCGAGATGAAGAAACCGGCGATGTTGCTGAACACATCTCAGTCCCTTGCTACCGACTCGTGCTTCGTCGGGGCAGTAGATGACCGAGAGGAGGATGACGATGGTGATGTAGAAATGAGCATAGATTGAAGAGTTTTACATGCTCACTTTGTCCAATTTTCTTGCACGCTCTTCTTTGTGTACATGATGTTCGAACGAAGACGAAAGAAAATTCGAAAACTATGAGTACAGGTTTAAGAGAGCAATCTAGTCTACACGGGGATTCAACAGAGATGGTATTAAGCTTGGTATTGCAGCTCGTAGAGAGATGGGAGCTTCTTGTTATTGACCTGGAAGTCGATAATGTCTTGCATAATCCTTGGGTAACGGCTCAACGGACAAACATGAGAGAGAAAAGAACGGACGCACTGATTGAAAATGGAAGTAATGAGCAAGGGTCGCCCGCCCGTGTCCCGACTACAGCGCCTCTGCATTGCTTGCCCGCACGCATAAGAGGACCTCCCCTCTGATCCCCTGCTTAGTTGCGTTCCTGGAGAGGCGGCAGTGGCGCCGGAAGTAAACGCGGAACTCGGTTTGGACGCTTCGACGAGTGATAAAGACCGATAGGTCATGTACGTGAGGCTGTATATGCAGTTCGGCAAAAAGACCTTCAGGCATGACATAACGAGGCGTGCGGTGGCCATTCATGCGTGAAGATCGAACCGAAACATTCACTGGTGTGGGTCCCTCGCGCTTTGTGCAGTAAAGCCGTCCGGGAACAAGACGATCGATGGTCTAGCCTCATGAATGAAACAAATGCGAACAGGAAACGGAATGTGGGCACCTGGGAGCTATGGGGCAAGAAGGTACGGTTATTGGTCATAATGCGAGAATCGATAGTGGGGGAGTAAGGAAGGACACACATTCAGCGAGAACAAAGACACTCGGAAGTAACACCATTTCCCGGGGTCGCACACACCCAAATGCTAAGATGAAGAGTGGTCATGCGTTGGATCGCGAGCACGTGACCACGACACGTGCCCCAGGCGTTGTTTCCGCCCGTCGCGTGGGGCGTTTTCTAAACTCTACCTCATTGCCGACTCGCGATCCTGGCTGATTAATCGCGCACCAAACAAAAGCTAAAAACCACAAGGCCTCCTCTTCTCACTCCCAACCATTTTCCACGATAGAGCAGGGATTTGGACACCGAAGCGATCCACTGCGCGACGAGCCCATAATGTAGTATTGAGAATAAAGCCACTGGATATAACCACAGCTTTAGGCTGAGGTATCCCCCAGCCAGAAAAGAAAAGAGTTTCGAGGGGGATCGAACAGTCGACCTCCCAAAACTGATAAAATCCCAACGCATTAGCTCACTAAACCATACAGACAACAGTTGCTGCCCAAAACTGGTTTTATCAACGGCGGCAGATAAACTCTACTGCGTTTGATCGGAATGTCTTGCCGGAGATCTGAAAGTATCAGCGATTGTTGCTTGCTCCCAACTTTATGGCTCACGTATTCAAACACAAAACCACCGTACAGACCACAGGAAGTGATGCGCCCAATGCGCTAGTCTTTTGCCCTAATGGACGAGTGCTTCTCATGGGGGGTGAGCGTCTTCGTTCTTTGAGCCACTTGCGCCCAGCGTCACTCACGCAGGCGAAGACAACTCCGTCCATTTCTGGGACGTCGAGGCAGGGACTCCCTCCCAAGAATCCATTCATGATGTCCGCTGGGGATGTGTTACGCACTTGCTGTTCTTGCCAGGCAGTGCGGGTTTTTCCGAACCGTGGTTGTGTATAGGCACCGGTGCTGGAGTTATTGCTCTCTATCAGTTAGATAGTCAGGCACGAAACTTGTTGTCTTCCAAGGTCACGACTCAGCTATCTCAGATGATCCTGCAATCAATTCTCTGCGGATAGAAAAGCTATTTCCAGCGGCAGACGATCCTGTAGAACTCCAAGCGTTCGACGTCTTGAGCTCGACCTTGTTGTTGGATCCGTTCAAGGGATCCATCAAGCGTACCGCTGGGCTGATGGTGGGTTGTCCTTCTTCTTGTTGAAACGTGCTCAACTGGCGGGTTCCTAGACGTTCTACAACCCACATGGCTACCCATGAGATGAAAACGGACATACCCTGTCATTTCTCCTTCCTGACTGCCAACCCCCGAACACTTCTTGTGCACTATCGGTCGGGGGCAATGTTGGCTCCGTTGTCACTGTCTCCCCAACTCCTCTAATTGACTCGCCAGGGAAATTCTCGATTTGTTCACACTGAACAGCCTCCAGCCACTCTCTACTCTTGGATTTCTATGTAAGTTCTCAGTCTGCATGAAAGTAAGCCACTGTCCAGAGGATCAATCTCGATAGCAATGGACTGCAAAGTCGTGGCTAATCTTACAACGGCGACTACGAAGTATTCGATGGAGGGCAGCATCCCTCAAACCCAAGGTCTCGCTGCAGGTTTCTGACAGCAGTTGTTCGCCAAAGCCTCGCGCTTCTCGGGGCACGGTGACTTTCTCATGTGCGGCGGGGATGCGGGATTAATTCACCTCTTCAACTTGCCACCAAGCGTCTCCCAGCTAACACCCCGGTCTACGTCTTATGTGCTCTCAATGAGTCTGATCATCGTGTGACCGCGCAGATGTGATTGTCAAACAGTCCGTATGGCGGTATGATGCCATAATCGAGCGGCGACGTATAGTGGAGCCTCTTTTGCCAGGTACTGAGCCCGACGCACATGGCAACTTCCTTGTCGCGAGCGCAAACAGCGTCAGTATTCTGTGTCTGGAAACATGCCGTAGGGATCCTGATCCAATGCGTCTAAGCAACTCACTGATGACTAGCGTAGAAGAGTGCTGCCAGCGTGTGCGCAAATAAAGGAGCCGAAAGGCGGGCCTGGACCTCTCCGAAACCAAGTGCTGAAGCTGACAGACATTGCTGACCTGAAGAAGTCCTTGCGTCTTTATTTATATGCATCTTGTGGAGTTGCTGGCGCATTTCTCGTGATGACCGCTAATAATCTCGGCGATGGTGTTGTAGTCTACTTTGGATCGCAATCATACGATGACGTAGCAAGCGCTTGGCGTACAGCTTGTCACGTGCCTGATCTCGGATCACCAGATTCTACTGATATACTATCTTTGTGTTTGTGTCTTCCTGCCAGTCTTCCTTATCACTACTTATCACTTACTGATCACAGCCGTCTACAAAGGATATACCAAATATCTAAGTCTACGATTCGGTGAGCGGGACCCCAGATCACGCCGTCACTGTCAGCCGTCTCGGTTATAGAGCAGGGCTTCCGGGTTCTATACTTTTGTAATGTTCAGTCGCCAACTTGTGCTTTATGAGATTTGCGTGAGTCGTGCGGATAAGCTTATCTTCCGAGTCGGTGATGAGTGTGACGCCGTGATACACGTGACCATACTGCTGCCTCGAGTGTTACTAAGCCGACTTGCTAAAGCCGATTCAATACGCGACTCGCTAGGAACGCTAGTAGCGCTCACGTGCCCGCTATCAAACCATGTAAAAACAAGCAAGGCGCCTCCTTCCTTTGACCTCATACCGCTGAGATGGCCAACGCATAAGCCGCCAGGCGCCTCCAGACCCGACCCTGGACTCGGCAAACTGCGCAGTGCTTGCCCAGCTCACGCTTCCTCCCCTGTGTCCCAAGGACGGCCGCCCTCAAATCATCACCCCTGCGACAGCACCGGCGCTGCTACGCAAAGCATCGGCAGCCCTGTGTCCCTCCCTGATCCAGTGCTGCGGCATGAAAGTTCGCGGAGAATGCTGCGGCAAAGCGGTTTCTGGAGCGCGTCTCGGTGTAAGCTCGCCATATCTACCCGCGTTGGTTCTGTTGAATTGACCCTAGCTACGCGTCTTTTGTGGCAGGGTCATCCCGGCGAAGAGTTGCCGTCAAGGCTAAGCAAGTCGTCATACGCGACCGAGGCGTTGTTGCCAACGTTCCCAACGAGAACCGTGACAAAGCGCACTAGGGTCCGCGGCATCTGCAAGAGCTGCCCCCGCCAACTTCGCCCCAATTACCTCACCGCACCTCCACTCCTAATTCCTGCCCTCCTCATCTCCCTTATCTTTCGCCGTGGTCCACGCCTTCAAACGAGATGAGCAGGCGACCTTACCGCTGGCGCTCACTTTCGCGTCTCTCGTTATAGGCGTTTATGTGGTGCCAAGGCGCGCGCGACGCGTGTTGATCCATGCTTGGCCCGTTCTGTTCTCTTCAGCTGCAAAGAAACGGTCCTTCTCTACAAGGTAAAGCGTCTTGGTCCCCCGATCGCGAAACAAACTGCTCACAGCCCATGTCCAGATGACGAGTCGGATCAAGCAGCTCATTACGGATTGGACTATAACTTCTTAAACCCGCCGAGTACGTGAC